CAGCATCATCACCATCATCAGCATGTTCATCATCTTCGTCGCCATCAGCATCATCATCGCCAGCGCCATCAGATTCATCAACAGCAACATCATCCGGTCCACCACAGTCATCATCATAAGCACCACCATCATCACCATCATCATCAGCCGCATCACCATCATCATCATCCGCATCGTCATCAGCATCATCAACATCAGCATCAGCACCATCACCGTCATTAGCATCACGGTCATTATCTTCATGATCACTCCCATCCTCCCATTCCTTCTGCTGCTGCTCGTTATGATCGTCCTTCTCGTCCACATCATCATCCTCGCCCTCCTCGGCCTCATCATATTTATCGCCCTCGTCTTCTAACGCACACTGTTTGGGCACACAGCTTTCAGCATTCACCTCTGAGGTGCGATGTGCTCGCACATGGCGTGTGCAATGGGTCCTTTTTTTCTGGGGTGGTTGAAAGCGCCGCCGTTGCTCGAGAAGCAGAGGCGCCAGGTCGGGCGGACCCTAGCGAGCGGGTCGGGCAGTCGGAGCATCAAAGCAGGCGGGACGGCTTCCAAGCACGCGGACGGGCGGACCCTGACTGGCGGGTCGGGGGCGGACCCCAGCGAGCGGGTCGGGTGGGCGGAGCATCCAAGCGGGCAGGACGGCTTCCAAGCACGCCGACCAGCGGACCCTGACGGGCAGGTCGGACCGGCAGATCCTAACGGGCGGGTCGGGCGGGCCGGCCCTAACGGACGGGCGGGCTCTAGCGAGCGGGTCGGGCGGGACTTTGAAGCGGGCGGGCGGGCCTCCAGCAGGTGAACGGGCAAGTCCTAACGGGCGGGGGCGGACCCTGACGGGCTGGTCGGGCGTGCGGGCCCTAACGGGCGGGTCGGGCGGGCGGGGTATTGAAGCGAATTGTGCACATTGCGAAGGAACCTCAGGCAAGAAGGGCGCGGCGCGTGAATAGATTGCAAGGAAGTCCTGGGCGAGAGCGGAGTTGTGAGGAAATAACAGGCGGGAGCTGCTGTTGCTGAAAACCAGGGGCCCACAGCCCAGTCTGAGCACCAAGACTCCCACTGATTGGCGACAGGGTGCGAGCCCCGTAGGGGGGGCACTCCAATCGAAAAAGCACAGTGGGCACCGGGCAGAAGGGATCAACAATATTTATCCCTCAGAGGTGCGACTTCAGCAACCGTCCAGTCAAGATTGTGTGCTCCCCGCTGCCCGCGTGCCAGTCGACGGGTATACACCCAGCCCTCGATACCCACCTTTTGCGTCTTCGACCGCGCCCCTTTCGGGCAGTTGGCGCGGCCTCTCCAAGCAGGAGGAGGAGGGCAAGAGGCAAGAGGGGAGGCAGGGAGGGCGGGGATCGAAGCCCTGGTGGCAGTCAAGAGCTGGTCCACCGCCGCTGCTGCTGCGTCCGGCCCGCCCGAGCCGCGCGGCGCACCCCCCCCCCTTTGCCGTGCCTCGCCGACCGCCGCTGGACAGCCCCGGAGCCGCCCCGTTTTGCCCTCCCGCCCGCGGCCAGACAGCGAAGACCAGACCCGCGGCAGGGGCCTCGGCTTCTCGGAGGTCCTCGCACGCCCAACGCACGGAGAGCCTCGGGACGGAGGCGCTGCGCCGTCTTCGGCCTCGGGGGGGGGCCCTCGCGGGGCCCGGGGGCCGCCAGGAAGCGACTCATGAGGGAGAGCCGACCTTGGGGACAGGGTCGGGGTTTCGGGAGCTGCGCAACCGAGAAACCCAATCAGGGCGTCGGATGCCTGGGCCCGCGCGGACGTCTTCCGGGGGCGGCGTTGGATTCCCTTCCCCGCGGCGCCGGGGGACTTCTTCCGGGGGCTAGAGGAGGAAGTGTCAGCGCCAGCCTGGCAGAAGAATCCGCGCAGACCTCCGAGAGCTTGTGTCTAGAGGCCTCCTAGATGGGGTCGGCGCAGATGGGGTCGGAGGATCGCGCCGCATCGCCGATGCATCCCCGATGTGGCTCGATGTGGAGCCCGATTTGCTTCACGTCGGCGTCGCCGTTGTATCCAGTGCATCGCCGATGAATCGGCGATGCGGCGCGATCCTCCGACCCCATCTACTCCGACCCATCTACTGTAGGAGGCCTCCATCGTGCTTCTGCCGCTGTCTCGTCCTCGGGCCGAGCAGCCATGATCGCCCTGCTGCCCCGCCTCCCCCTGCGTGCCGCGGCCGCCGCCGCCGCGGGCCGCGGGCCGCAGCCGCCGAAGAGCCACCTGCTCAGGCGGCAGTTTGCTTCCGCGAAGGCGGCCCGAGGGTGGGGCACACGGGTCTGGGTCCCCCAGATGGGGTCAGAGCAGATGGGATCGGAGGATCGCGCCGCATCGCCGATGCATCGCCGATGCGGCTCGACGTGGATCCCGAGTTGCTTTACGTCGGCGTCGCCGATGTATCGCCCACGTCGACGATGCATCGCCGATGCATCGCCGATGGCGCTGCATCGCCGATGTATCGGCGATGCTGCGCGATCCTCCGACCGCATCTACTCCGACCCCATCTAGGAGGCCTCTAGTGGGGCACACGGAGGAGCGGGACTTGACCGTTTGGAGCTCGCCGGCTTCTGCGGCGGAGGGATGCAAGGCGCTGCGCTTCCTTTCCCTCAGAGCTTGACGACTCTTGCTCAATCCACATGCGGGGATCAAGCTAGATAAGTCGAGGCAAATCTAGCAAGTTCAGACGAATCAAAGTACATCAAGATAAATCTAGGCAAAAGCAAAGATATCGAGGAAAGTCTGGTGCTAATATGGACGCTCCAGCGCGAGTCGAGGGACAGCAGAAGCCGTTCAGCCTTCAACGAGTCCTTGAGGGGTGGAAGGTCCCCAGGCGACTGGACATTACGGGAGCAGGCGCCTGTTGTGCTGGAGTGTCGGTGTTCCCGCATGCGGCGTTTGGCATCCTGTGGCAGTGGACGAGGGGGGGGAGTAGGCGAGGAAAAACGAGAGATTTGAGGTCGGAGATGGGAGGACGAAGGAGGAGGGTCTTTCCTCATCCCCCCCACTATTTCCTCCTTGTCAATCTCCATGATCATTCCTCTTCATCTGCACCCCTCATTCACTAACCTCTCTCATGCTCCCGCATGTTCCCTCCTCGTCATCCTCATCCTTTCATCCTCATCTTCCTCCTCTTCCTCCCTCCTCGCTCCTCCCTCATCGCTTCTCCTCATTACTCTTCCTTCCTCTTCATCCTCGCGCCTCCTCCTCTTCCTCCTCCTCCTGTTCCCTGTCCTCATATATAACTCCTCCCTGTCGCATCCCGAGGCTGGTAGAAAGGGCGGGCCCGGCATTTCGCTTGAGACTTCCTCACACTTACGATCCTGACAAAAAAAGGCAACAGCTTCACACATGGAGAGCGGGTGGTTTTCAAAATGGCACTCTCGCCTTAGCGCCGCGCACATTTTGTTTTTCGAGTTGGCAAGAGTTTCACGGATTCAGAGCGGGCGGTTTTCAAAATGTGGTTCTCGCGTCAGCACCGCGCACATTCGCTTTAAGAATCTGCAGAAGATTCACGGCTTGAGGGCAGGTCGTTTTCAAAATGTGGTTCTCGCCGTAGCGCCGCGCACATTCGTATCAAAAAGTTGCAAGAGTTTGAGGGATCCAGGGCGGGTCTTTTCCCAAATGTGGCTCTCGCTTTAGAGCCGCGCACATTTGTTTTTCAATTTCAAGGGTTTCACCAAGTGAAGGCCGCCGCGTGCGCGCCGAGGACCAAGTTCGAGCAGTGCGTGGCGTAGTATGGGGCGACGCCGCACGAGAACGTGGGGAGCCCAACTAGGGTGTCAAGGAAGACGACACAGACACTTTTTGGCGTCGCGGCCACGCGCGCAGCGACGCGGCCTAGAGCAGGTCGGCGCACCTTGGCACAAGGGAGTTCGTAGCCATCATTTCACATTGAACACGGTGGGTCGGTTAGGCCTGGCCGAAACCTTAGCAGGGAACAAGGCAGACAGGCCTGGCCATCAAGTTTGCAGGTTGTCGAGCGCTTGGTTCGATTGAAGTTCTTGTTGCCATGGTATCACAGAGATAAAGCATTGTGTTGAAGAACGGTAATTTCGATGACCTCCCATTGCTTGCTGGCGGTTAGCAGAGAGAGGTCGGAGATGACAGGACGACCGTCTCAGTCGTGCGAACGGCAGGAGCAGCAGCAGACGCAAGTGAGGGTTAGCTTGCTCCCTGAACAGTGCTTGCACTGAGGGGGGCTTTCGTGGGTTCTTAGGAACTGAACCTGTCTGCTGCGCCGTCTCTGCTGGCTCCAGGTTGCACCGCATGCGCTCCAGTGAATGATTGTTTACAGCCCCCCACGCGCTGCCATGATTCTGATGCACCTTCTGCAGGATCTGACATCGGACAAAAAAATGATCGCGGGAGGCCCACGGGCAGTAATCTCGACCATTTGAGAGATCATATTCCAACTCTAGATGATGAATGTTCTGAGATATGTTTAGACGTCCCAGATCACCGTCGTCGACGCGGCGTCAAGGCGTTGTTTATCGTGGGTGGCTCATACGATTGGAGGAAGCTTTATGTCGCACAGGGATGCAGCCAACAGCTACGCCACGATTGCACTAGATCCGGAACCCCGCAGTTCATACATTCGTTGAGCATACCAACCCGTTCATTCATGCAAGCATACGGCACACCACACCATTATCCTCCCCCTTCGTCTGTCCTCCTACAAGCCATGAACTACCCGACCCCCAACACGGCCTTGGAGGTGCGTTGACAGCATCTCCAACAGTTGTTCGCCGCCGAGAGCTTCGGATTGTGATTCCACGCATGATTGTTCCCTGCAGTCCGAAGGGTACCCTGGACGCCGGTTATGCTGGTGGAGCCACGGCCGTTTTATAGAGTGTGCCGACTTGAAGTATGAAGGTCCATGTGTTATCTCCTCTGAGCCCTGCCAGGCAAATCCCGTAGCTGTATGCAAGACGTCCATGGGCACGTTTAAGGCCGAGCTTTATCTTGACAAGATGCCCGTCACCGCCTCCAATTTCATCGCGCTGGCGCAGGACAGGCGCCTCCGTGTTTCTATCACCTCGGCATGCCAGAAATGAGCCGACCCCCAACCATGAGCGGCTTCGGAAGGCGCAAGACGCGAAGCGATCAGAAACATTGCTAGTTTCGTCAGTTCTTTGTGCTTTTTGATTCGCGTGTCGTAACGTGAAAGGAGTTCCGTACGTGCTTCGGCCTGACATCTCAGTGGGAGCCCTCGGTTCGGCTGGCCGCGGCTCGGTTCTGTTTGACGACTGGGATTTTCTCGGTGTTGACCTCGATTCGATCCGGTTCGACCGATGCGCCGTATAAACACTATTGGTTTAAAAGGGTTGGCTATAGGAGTCCTAGCTCAGTCCATTGAAAGCTAGTCCACTAGCCCCCCCCCCTACTTTGCCCTTGCAATCGTCAATAGTTCTGCACGGCTTCCTCCGACCCGCATGGCTTCCTTTGCTGGCTTCCTAGTATCCGCACGGTGTCCTTGTATCCGCATGGATTCCTCCTATTCGCATGGTTTCCTCCTATCCGCATGGCTAGCCCAGTCGCGTCCCAACAGTCTCACATTTATAGTCAAACACAGAAGCAGAGTAGACCAGAGCAGAGTAGAGTAGACAAGCGTAGATGAGTAGAGTAGAGCAGGTTATAATAGTGTAGAGTAGAGCAGAGCAGAGCAACGTAGAGTAGAGTAGATTAGAGTATAGCAGAGTATAATAGAGTTGGCTAGGGTTGGGTGCTGTAGGGATTGTAGGATCGGGTACGGTAAAATAGAGCAGGATAGACCCGAGTAAAGTAGAGCAGCGTAGGAGTAGGTTAGGCAGGGCAAAGTAGAGTGGAGCAGAGTAGAGTAGGGTAGATTGTAGAGTAGAGCCGGATATAATAGAGTAGGGTAAAGTTGAGCAGAGTAGAGTAAAGTAGAGGAGAGTTTATTCGAGTAGGATGGGGTAGACTAGGAGTGGAGCGCAGTAAAGTATGAGTGGAGTAAAGTAAAGTAGAGCGTATTAGACTAGAGTCGGTTGGGGTAGGGTGCGGTAGAGTAGACTAGGGTGGAGAAGAGCAGAGTAGAGTAGAGTGGGGTAGATGGTAGAGTAGAGTCGGGGTACATTAGAGTAGAGAAGAGCAGAGTAGCGTAGAGTAGAGTAGAGTGGAGTAGAGTAGAGTAGGGTAGAGTAGAGTAGAGTAGAGCAGAGGGAGTAGAGTAGAGCAGAGTGGAGGAGAGTAGAAGAGAGGAGAGGAACGCATAGTATGATAGATTAGACGTCGAGTAGAGTCGAGTAGATTAGAGTAGAGAAGGAGTAGAGTACAGCACAGCAGAGCAGGAGTAAACTAGAGTCGACTCGGGCACTGCTGTCTTCTCATCTATGTGGAGTCTGCGCTGGCTGGCATTTCTTCGGTTACAAGAATGTACCCACTACTCGACCTCAAAATGTGCGAACGCTCTCTCGCGCCATTACGAGTGGTCGAAACTTAGAAATATGATGTCTGCGATGTTCGTACACGTCGATCGGGCATTTCGATTCGAGACGCCATTTCGCTTCAGAGTGTTTCGACCGGCATGGCTCCAATTGTTTTTGTATTGACACCACAGTCTGTCCTCACGCGATCGTTTGGCGCCGCGCATTTGATGCGATCCGAACGGGTGTTCAATTAGATCCTTTTTCATTTCACAAAGATCCCGTCGCCGGCGCATACCCACGTCATTGGACAGCTTTCGTTGTTTACAAAAGCCACGCGTAAGACATACCCAAAGTACATGCGAATTTCTACTGCGCGTCACGGGAAGCAGAATTCAGAAACTTGGAAGAAAGAAGGCTCGCCGTGCTCGGCCAGACGCACCTGGGCTAGCGAAACCGACAACAGATGTCATTACGCGGAGTTCCACTAAAGTTGTTTGCACGTTTTCATTTGTTCACTGCGCTCACGGGCAAACCTCGACTGCCAATTGGAAGTAGTTCGACGCAAAGCTAATTATTTTTTGCGTTTTGTTTCACAGTCGTGGTGTTCCTTGAGCAGCCCTGGTCCCTTGATGAGATGGAGTTGCATCGGCCACGTATGCTTTCCCACAGAAAGGGGCACGTTTGCGTGCGAACATGCACGTGCTGTACCGCGTGCGCGTAATACCGCACGCGTGCGCAGTATCAGTAGTAGCATTAGCAGTAGTAACAATAACGGCGTAAGTGGTCGTAGTGAAAGTATCAGTCGTAATAGTAATAGCACGAAGAGGAGTAAGAGTGCTACTTGTAAGAATCTTCGGGGTAGTAGTAGAAGCAATCTAGTAACTATAGTAGTAGTAGTAGTAGTAGTAGTAGTAGTAGTAGCCGTCGTCATACTAGTAGTAGTAGTCGTCGTCGTCTTCGTCGTCGTCGTAGTAGTAGGAGTAGTAGTAGCAGTAGTGGTAGTAGTAGTAGTAGTAGTGGTAGTGGTAGTGGTAGTAGTAGTAGTAGTAGTAGTAGTAGTACTCGTCGGCGTAGTAGTAGTAGTAGTAGTCGTAGTAGTAGTAGTAGTAGTAGTAGTAGTAGTAGGAGTAGTAGGAGTAGTAGGAGTAGTAGAAGCAGTCGTCGCCGTAGTAGTTGTAGTAGTTGTAGTAGTAGTAGTAGTAGTAGTAGTAGTAGTAGTAGTAGTAGTAGTAGTAGTAGTAGTAGCAGTAGTAGTAGTAGTAGTAGCAGTTGTAGTAGTAGTAGTAGTAGTAGTAGTAGAAATAGTAGTAGTAGCAGTAATAGCAGTAGTAGCGGTAGCAGCAGTAGTAGTAGTGGTAATATAGAGGTAGTGGGAGTAGGGTGACGAACCCCCGTTGGTACACCCCTACAAGGAGTACGAGCGTCGATCTTCTGTCGAACCCTGTACCACGACGGGCGTGCGAATAAATATGCTTGCTGCGGTTTCACCCATGGCGCGCGTTATGTGTGAGCTTTGCCGGGTTCGTTTCTATGTTGTTCTACGTTTCCTTCGTGTTCTTTTTGTCAGGTCGCAAGCCAGTTCTTTATTATGCGTTCTACCGTATGAAATTTAATCCTTGTCGTGCGGTGGATGTACCAATGATGTCTGCTTGCTGGCCCGCCACAAAGGAAACCCTGTCCAGAGCTAACCTGTACAAATGGGTGGGGTGCGGATGTATCGTTTTATCTTTGACCACAGCTGGTTCACAATCAAATATATTTGTTGTTGATTTACGCATGGAATCCATGCAGTTTGAGTTTTGAGGACCCCAGCTGTTGAGTTTATGTTCGTTGTTTTTCCGTCGCGGCTCCACATTCTAAAGTGGCTGTTGGTTCTTTTTGGACAGTCAGCCCTATCCGTACACCCCCCACCTTTTCAGACGCATCAGCACCCCCGCACCACCACCATCATTACCCTCATCGGCGCCAGCATCACCACCACAACTATCATCACAACCAGCAGCATCAACATTACCCCTACCTCGCACTCAGTAGTACCATGCGCACATCTTCACCACTACCACCACCACCCCCAGCATCTCACACGTATTTTCGCACTCACTAACATTCCCACACACGCACACGCTCACACATTCATGTTTGTCAGGTTGGGGCCCTTGGGGCCCGAATGCGGAGGATGTCTCGAGCGGAGGTAAGCTGCAAGGAAGTCCCGATCGGGAGCCCCCTTCCCTGTGGGGCCGCCAGACCACGTTAGCAATCCGAGCGGGTCATCCAGAATGTTCAAGTGTTGTCATTTGCATGGTCTTGACGCATAAACTTGGAGGAAGTCTCGAGTGGGGTTTTGGTCCAATAATCAGTGGCGCGGAAGTCTCGAGCGGGAGCCCCCCCCCCATGAGGCCACGAGGTCATGTTGGCTTCCCGCGCGGGCCATCCAAAACATGTAAGCGTCGCCACGTTGGGCTCTGAAGGCTTGAATCTGGAGGAGGTATCGAGCGGGAACCTTGTGAGTGAATGTTCAGGAAGTCTCGAGTGGGAGTTTCCTCCTCATGGGGCCGCCAGATCATGTTAGGAAACCGAACGAGCATTCACCCCAACTCTATAATTGTCGTCATTGTTGGTGTCCCGCGGCCTGAATCTGAAGGAAAGTTTGAGCGGGAGCCTCGTCTCTGAGTGAATCGAAAGGAACTTTCGAACGGGAGGCCCATCCTTATAGGGCCGCCAGATCAAGTTTGTAATCCGGCATAGGTTTTGCACAACTTCTAACGTTCGTCTTTTGGGGGTTTCTGACATATGAATCTGGAGGAAGCCTCGAGCTGGAACCTCGCTTGTGATTTGAATTCTGAAACGGGGCGGGGCCCTCCCTGTGGGGCGCCCTCCTCGTGGACTTCTTCGGCTGGGCCACGGCATGGGCATCTATTTGGAGACGTTGGCGAGGTGGATCAACACGCGCGTTCGTCGCGACGCAAGGCGTCTGGGTGTGCCCTTCGTTTTCCTGCAGGCCGTGGGCGAGTGCAACGCGATCCACGGCGACACCGACGCGGGTCGGAGCCTCCTGAACGTCCCGAACATGCATCAGACGGGGGCACACGCGGCGCCCCACTTGCACGCGTCGGCATTGAGGTTCGGTTCGCGGCGTCGCAAGAGCAGCTGAAGAAGAATAAGAGGGAGGAGAAGTGGGGGCCCGCGCAGGATCAGCAGACCACCAACGCGCCCTTCGAGTTTCACCCCGAGGACGAGCAGCGGCGCGAGGAGCGCGGGCCAGGCCAGCTCTTCCGCCCCCGCTTCTCACCGCAGAGAATCGGGCTGCAAGTGCACGGGCGCAAAGAGACCCCGATCGACCACGAGGTCGCCGAGTTGCTGCTACAGGGCGCCGAAAACGCTGGCGACGACGGCCAGGCCGAGGCGCGGGCGCGGAGCCCGCTCATGTTCAAGACCAGCGAGCAGGAGCTCACGTGGCAGAGTTTGACGCCGCGCGGCGCGCCGCTCGCGGTTCGCTCGGACGCACGCGCCACATTGCACGCCCGTGCTGTCGCAGGGCCAGACGCCGCGCAAGGCGCCACCATCGAGCGCGCCAGGGACGCTGGCCGCATGGGCCTGTCGGACGAACAGCGGCGCACTTCTGC